TAGCAAGCAAGCACCCCTGTCTTGTTTTTGATTTTGATAAAAACAGCTTGAGTGTTTGATTATTTAGAATGTGTCATGTTACTGTCTATTCTCTTAAATTGCTTTTTTATTGAGAAATATGTCATGCATACAAAAGTGTGGAGAAAACGCACACACACAGATTAAAAAACAATAATAAAAGGATATCCACGTACCCATTACCAAGCTTGGGAAATTAACCATTGCATCATAGAACCCCCCATTGGCTTCTCATCAGTTACATATGCCTCTGTCCCCCATGAGAACTGCTATCCTGAATTCTGTATTAACACTTTGATTTTCTTTATAGTATTACCATATAGATGTCACCCTAATCAAACTGTTGTTTAAATTAGCCTTTAAGAAACTCCATATAAATGGAGTTGTTCTGCATATGTTCCTCCGTGAATTGATTCTCACCCTCAATGTTACCCTATTTCTTGTTCTTAACATGTGAAAGACCACATTCTACCATCTCCTACCAGAACCAAAAGGCTTCCCATTACTAGTGCATCCATTCTGCGAAGTGTCCAGAAGTGACATCAGTTGTCACCATCTATGCTTCGCACACCACACTACATGTTGACAAAGGGCTGAGTGTTGAAGTTACCCTCCATTACTAGTGCATCCATTCTGCGAAGTGTCCAGAAGTGACATCAGTTGTCACCATCTATGTTTCGCACACCACACTACATGTTGACAAAGGGCTGAGTGTTGAAGTTACCCTCTTCCCGTTGATAGTAACCACTTTCACTGCTTCTATGAGCACCTTGCCAAATCTTCCCCGTCCTGGCAGGATCCCCCTTTTCTAACATGCCCAGTGTCCAGTTTTGCCAGCATAGAAGCTTCTCCTTCTACTCTGAGCAGTTCTTTTCCAATATCCTGACTAGTGGGGTTGAGCCCACCAGCACCCAGCTGGGCCTTCTGATTCTACCCTCACAGGAACCAGCTGCATTTGCACAGCTCCTATAAACACACGAAGACCCAACAGGGGTTTGATCCAGTCTGCCAATGTCACTGATGGAGTCTTGATTAGCATAAACCATAAACTCTGCTAGGATCCCAGCTGTGGTAGATTGTGTTATTATTCAAAATATTTGCTTTCCCTCCCTGGGATGGATCACACCTCCTCACCCCGATGATACTGGGTGTGATGTCTGACTTGCAGGGCCTCTCCCTATTAGTATTTCATATCCCCGGCAACCATGTGGCTTGCTTTGGCCAACAAAACATGGGTGATAGGGACACTCCTCATCTCTGGAAAGAAGCTTTAAGAGCCAGCTGGTGGTCTTGCCATCTGTCATTTCCCACTGCCATGAGATTGGCAATGTTCCAGATAGGAGCTGCTCTATGATCCTGGGTCCCAGAGTGAAGACAATGTGGAAGAGAGCACAGACATTGAGATGGGTGAGTAGCATGAGCAAGATGAGATTGGCAATGTTCCAGATAGGAGCTGCTCTATGATCCTGGGTCCCAGAGTGAAGACAACGTGGAAGAGAGCACAGACATTGAGATGGGTGAGTAGCATGAGCAAGAATGAGCAAGAAATAAAGGTGTCCGCTTTCCCTGTCCTTCATAGGCAGGCGTTCAAGCAGCAGTACTCCCTGCTGGTAAATAAGTAAGCGCCACGGGAGAGAGATTGCTAATAAGCAACATTACATCTCAGGAGTGGCAGAGGTCACTTCCTGGTCATGCATGGTTTCCTGGCAGTGGTGAGAAAGGAGTAGAGCAGTAAAGAAGGGGCAGAATTTTCATAGGCTGGGAGAAAGAGGAGGGGAGTTGGAGCGGGCATTCTGTGGGTAGGAACAGTGCAGGAAAAGGCTGGAGGTGGGCAAAGCCTGAGGCCAGGAGGCCTACTGGCTGGAGCCCAAGGAGGTTGTGGGGAGTAGAAAGGTGGATGGGGAGGGATCCAGGAGCCTGAAGGGCTTGGGATCCATCTTCCCAGGAACCTGGTGTTCCTTACAACAGGGATACATTCATGTTTGTGGCCCCAGCACAGTGACGAGCATTTTCTGGTGTTTGATATTTAAAAAAAAATAGGAAATCCCCCAAATCTCCAGTTTTGCTTCCAGCGTCTTGGCCTGCCTGGTGCCTGACCACATGGCTCCAGTGGTTTCCATGGAAACTGCTCTGAAAAGCAACAACACTTTTTGAAAACAAGTATCTTAATGCTGTGCAAATTGGGCAAATGTATTAAGAAATTGAAGTGGAGGACCCCAAGAACGGCCCAGCTCCCTGTCTGCTCCCTCCCCTGAGCCGTACCAGTGGTGTCATTGTCTGGCTCTGGGCTGCACCCCATCTGGAAGCTTTATCTTTTTCTTCCTTTGCCCACTTCCCCAAGTTGACCATACATCCTCCAAGGCTAGGGCAATATAATGTATCCCCAGATTTCAGCAAGGCCAGGCCCATGGAGGTGCTCAGCCAGTGTTGCTCGGTGGTATTCATGATGCCTCTTGCTTGGGATCCCTCCAGCTTCTCTGGATAAAGACGAGTCCCCGGGAGAGAGCTGTGAGAGGCACAGCTCCTCAGGGATCTCCCAGGGAGCCTGGCCTCTGAGAGTTCACTGGCTGCCTTTGTAATCCCCCTGTCCCTGAGTCTTGGGCTTGCTGGGAAAAGAAAGATTAGCAGGGTTCCTCTCTGAAGAAACTTGGATGATCAGACCTAATTTTATATTCATAATTTTGTATTTTTGTTTTTAAAGAGAAACTCCCAACTGTGGTGAGGCTGGCACTTTGACCTATGCCTTTGAATGTTCCCCCTTGACTCCAGGCCTTCCTGCACCCACCTCAACCCCCTCTGCTCCCTTTAAGCTCTCTGGGCCCCCTGACTCTCTTAACTGTGTCCCCCTGTGCTGCAGCTGAGGTCACCTCTGGGTCTCAATTTGCATGTAGAAGTCATCTCTTGGCTGAACATAGGCTTCCACGGTGGACTCTATTTTCCTAGGCAGCAACCTGCATTACTCTAGGTATAACATTATTTTAAAATTACTTTTAAACACATAATATAGTCTCCAAGTTGTCCAAGGCAGACAAAGCTGGGCACCAGTTTAACTGATAAGGACAGATTTTAATCCATAATAACTACTGCAATGGGGAAGCGAGTCCAGCATGAGCTGAACTCAACTTTGATTTATATAGAGGTGACTGGATGGTTTTTTTTTTTTTTTTTGGGGAAGCGAGTCCAGCATGAGCTGAACTCAACTTTGATTTATATAGAGGTGACTGGATGGGTTTTTTTTTTGTGTGTGTGACCAGTAAGGGGATCGCGACCCTTGGCTTGGTGTCGTCCGCACCGCGCTCAGCCAGTGAGTGCACTGGCCATCCCTATATAGGATCCGAACCCGCGGTGGGAGCGCCGCTGCACTCCCAGCACCGCACTCTCCCGAGTGAGCCACGAGGTCGGCCCGACTGGATGTTTTAAAGGAAGAATGCGGGGAGAGGTTCTTAGCAAAGTCAGGGAAGTAAAAAAATTACAAAAAGCAGGAAAGGGGCTTGGTCCGTGTGAAACTCATCTGGGTTTACTCACTGGTGCTTGTCAAAGTCAGGCTCCTCGCCAGCCTCCAGGAAAAAAAAAAAAACAAACCCACAAGTCAGGCTCGTGACCTCCCGTGGAGGCTGGGAGACAGAGACCCTATCTTCAGGTGATGGCTGGAATAAAGAGTGAGTCTTTGGGCAGCCTTGAGCTTTCGCATGTGGACACCGCAAGGGAGGCTGGTGCCACTCACAGCGTGTGGGCCTGAGCAGTTCGAAACTGTGTTAGCATTTGTCCAAGTCTCTACAGGCTAAGGCTAAGGCCTACTTGAGAAGAAGGATGGAGTGTGGTCAAGGACACTCTTTGCCAAAGTGAAAAATAAAAGCTACAACTGCCCTGTCATCAGGTAGGTGAGCCCCCTTCCAAATTCTGAATGCACTTGCATATGTATAGATGTATGTGCAGATGTATCCATAGGAAATATACGTGCATGTGTGTTTTGACAGGACTTCTTCCACCATACTCTTCTTCCTGATCTGAGCATAGTATTTTATAGCATGACTATTCCATAGTCTTTCTGGATTGAAATAATCCAGTTTGGGCTGTTTCCGATTTCCACTGGAATTACAATAACCGATTGCAGTGAACATCCGCCTCCTTGAAGTTCTTCACAGAGATGGAGGGTGGAATTGCTGGGTTCTAGGACAGCATGTAAAATTTTGATAGATGCTACCAAATTGCCTTTTCAGAGCAACACAACCCACTTACACTCCCAGCGACTGGGGAAGAGTGTTTATTCTTTGCACCTTTGCCAACACTGAATGGACTCAAACTTCCTAATAGCTGTTAATTTGCTCAGTCAAAATGAACACTTTTGTCTGTTTCCACTGGCTGTCTGTATTTCCTTTTCTGGGAGCTGGCCCAGGTCTTTAGATATTAAAATAACTTCTGATCGAATTCTGTGTTACTCCCCGGTCTTGTCAGGCTGTGGGGTCACAGCCCCAGAGTCCTGCTGCTGGCAGGATGGAGAGAGGGAAGAGTGAGGTGCATTGGGTGGGTGGGCGGTTGAAGGAGAGTGAGGTTCCACCTCCCTCCCCAGCCGGTGAAATTAAAACTAGGGAGAGGCTTCCAGAGCCAGTCCAGACTCCAGAGTCCAAGTGCTCAGCCAAGCATATCTTCCTCAGGTGGGCAGGGGGACAAAGAGCAGCCTTCAGGGAAAGGCAGGCTGGGAACTTGGGCCACTAGCAGCTCTCCCTGCCTGACACATCCTGGGCTTGTCCTGCCTTCTCTGTGTTTTCGCTTCCCACAGTGTTGAAGTCCGGATCTGGGGAACCTGGGGGAGGTGGGGCAGCACAAAGGTGAAGCCACGCTCAGCCCCACGCCCAGCAGGGCAGACACTGCAACCTGCAGCCTGAGCTGTGCACACCTGGGGCTGCTTCCTTGCCATTGACCTCCTGTCTGGAAGCCTGCTCTGTCCCCAGCCCTGGCAGCCGGCCGTGCCCACCAGAGCCATGCAGCTGCTCAGGCTCCTTGGCCTCCTCTGGATGTTCAGGGCCTCCCCAGTGGTCACAGGTGAGGGGGAAAGGGGGAGAGGCTGGAGAGACCCCCCTGATGTTTCAGAGCAGGAGCAGGGAGGGTGGTCTCAGGCTCCTTGGCCTCCTCTGGATGTTCAGGGCCTCCCCAGTGGTCACAGGTGAGGGGGAGAGGGGGAGAGGCTGGAGAGACCCCCCTGATGTTTCAGAGCAGGAGCAGGGAGGGTGGTTCTGAGGCCTAAGGGAGGCCTGATGAGGGGAGCAGGGAGAACCCAGGCAGGGGCAGGAGAAGGGCAGTTGAACCTACTGCTGTTGCGCTTGACCAGGGCCAAGTGGGTGGCAGGGGGGACGCTCACATCTGCATCTGGAGGGAGGGGGTTACCTCTCCCCAAAGAGTGTCTTCCTACTTTGACTCTGATTTTTGAGCCTCCCCCTACTTCTGTCACCCACCCCAAGCCCACAGTGGGCTCTATCCCTCCCTGAACTTCCACTGGTGCCGCCTCCTGCCTTCCTGAGAACCCTGCTTCTGCCCCGGGTCTCTCTCCTCTTTCTGCCTTTGGTCCCCAGGGGCCCCTCCCCAGCTCCATCCCTACTCTCTCAGCCCCCATCTGGGCCCTCATGCCTGGGGATGGCTGTTGCCATGGGCCTCGGTGGGGAGGTCCTGAAGGTTGCTTTGCTCCCAAAAGGTGGGTGCGAGTCCACGCCTCAGGAACCCCACAATTCCTCTGCACGTCCCTCCTCTGCCCCGCAGCGTCTGCTTCTGAGCCCAATCCTAGACCATCCCAACGTAGAGGCCCATGGCTGGCCTTCTCGCTCACCTCTGGGGCCACCTCCTGGCTCTAAGGGCTCTAGCCTGGGAATCCTAATAATCTCCTGACCCCACTTCCTTGACATTCCCAGCCGGGCTGAGAAATGACACCCCAGCCCTCAGAAAAAAAAATATGTCATGTCCCAGGTGAGGAGAGGTTAAAGCTGAGTGGGCAGGAGGCTGGGGGCCTGTCTTCCCCACCTCTCACCCCAAGCACAGTGAAATCTCTGGTCCTCAGTCTTACCATCTGTAAAATGGGTTGATGATGTCTATAGAATGAGGGGGGTTCGTATTGGTAAACTAACTAATTCAGTGGCCGAAACAGACTAGTTATATAAAATATGTCTCTTTTTGTGATTTAACACTCACTGCTAAAACTTAAAGTCTCTGGAACGCACACCTGCCTGCTGAGGTATCCCTTTCTGGAGGTTTCCTTCTCTGGCTGCCCCTCAGCCTCTCAGTGTGCTCCTCGCTGCATGTCCCTCAACCTCAGTAGGACCTGAGCTTCCATCTCTCTTTTCCCTTTGATGTTCTCTATGCAGTTTTCCCTTCTCTGACCCTTCGTCTCCTGGTTTCCATGCCATGTCCCCAGCCCAGCCTTGGCTCGGTTCTTTCTCTTTGGAAAGGAGAGTCAGCCCAGATAGCAGTAGGGGACTGGAGAATGGCAGAGGCAGGTCAAAGGGTGAGGGCACAGAGCCAGGAGGGGCAGAGCACTCCAGGCAGCAGCTGGAGCAAGCAGAGGAAAGAGGGCCTGGCTGTGAGGGGGGTGGAGGAGGGAGCCTCATCTGGACTCGCGTGTGCAGCATGGTATCCCAGGGCAGGAAGGTCAGTCATGCAGACAAGGCTGGGGCATTGGTCTGAGGGCATCCCACCCACGCTCCCCAGAGAGCAGACAAATGGTGCACTTCAGAGCCCCAAAGCTCCCAGCTCCAAACTGCCTCTCTGGGGAGACAGCGATGGCATATTCCACCTTCTGTGATATGTACCTGGATAATGGGGTTGTGAATAACCTAAATGGTCTCACCATTGTAAATGGTGATGTACCAATGGATTCCTCCATTTACCACCAATACAGGAACTTTATCCGTGGCCACATCCACACCTGGCATGCTGCTTCCCAGTGCAGAAGCAGCCCACACCACTCAGCACTGCCTCACTCTCCAAAGGCACAGCAGGGTGGCCATTTGGAATCCCTCCCATCTCTTCTCCTGCTCCCAGCAACAGGGCAAACACACCTATGACTCTCACGAAGTCCCTCCACTATAAACCCACTTTTGAAACATTGCTCAAATCTCCAATCAGTTCCAACACTTCATTAATCCCAACATCGAAGTTTGTCATCAAGGTTGAAACCATGCCACCCACCGTCTTTTTCTATATGGCACCAATGAGTGCATAAATCCAACAAGCTTTATAACCACGACCACCTATCCCACCACCACCTGTGTGACTGTGACCCATGTGTCCTTCACCAGCTCCTACACCACCACTTACCCTATTATCACTACTGAGAAAGTGATCTCAGCCATGACCTCTTCTCTCACTACAGCCACTATGGAGAAAACTCCCATAATAACGGCCCCATCTTCCTCCTCCATCTCAACCACAGACTCAATCTCATCGACTATTGAAACCACAACAACATCTCCTACCCCAGTCATTACTTCTCTGTCTGTTACTACTCCTTCTCTGGTGACAGCAAAAACCTTCTTGACAACAGTAACTGATAGCACCTTCTCACCGACCACCACTAGTGCCTTCACAAAGCCAACAACTATCACAACTTCATTTCCTAAGACTAGCAATATATTTACAACAGAAACTACCACCAGCCATTCTTCCACATCCACTAACATACCAACATCTAAAACAGCTGTTGCTTCGGCTGCTACTGAAGCAACCACTCAACCAGGAACACCAACAATGACAACCATCAGAAGGAGCTCTGAGAAAAAAACACAAGCTCTGGCGAGTGACACTCCCAGAGAAACTCTCACC